TCACTAACTGGTTATGAGATATAGTGGTCAAAAAATCATATTAAATGGAGGTGAGGGCACTCAGGAATTAGTTTCTCTGATCTAGGAGTGATATATTTACACAACTTGTAGCATCTGGAAATCCTTTCCACTGGGTTGTTTGTGCTCCCGTGTAACATGACACTTGTAATCTCATCCTAATGTGGGGTGGGACTGTGAGCCCAGGAAGATGATGTCTTATTCATATCTTTGTTGGCCATCTTGGCAGAGGTTCTGCATCTCTGAAGATGATTATTATATTAATGTCTTATTATATTATTAAGATATATAAGATATATAAGATATATTAAGATATAATAAGATATATTAAGATATATAAGATATTATTATATTAATGTCTTATTCATGCCTTCCTTGGCCATCTTGGCAGAGGTTCTGCATCTCAATAGGGCTGGATTTGGAGCAGCTTTCTGGAGCTACCAGACCTGTGGCTGCTCTGAGTTGGAGGGGGTGCTGGCATGTGGTATCTGACCAAACCCCACCAGAGCTGTACCCTTCTTACATGTATTAAATATTCCAGTCTCCTCTATTATAATTTCATTCACCTGTGTTTTTTTTAAATGAATGTAGTTAATTTCTTGATCTAAAGCCATGCAAATCCCATCCTTTTGAGAAAATATTTAGGGAAGTATGAAAGAGCGATGTCTATTTTAAAATGTTTCACAGAATGGATTGGTTTGGAAGGGACCTCTAAAGGTCATCTAGATTTGGTAGACCTTCCCCTCCAGGCTGCTCAAAATCCCATCAACCTGGCCTTTTTTTACTACTAAGTTGAGAAAAAATACACTGTATTTTAACTTGCTTCCCTTGCTAACTTGAAACGTGAAAGAAGAGATGGGAAATTTTGTGCTGCATCTCTTGAGGGTTTGTCTGGTCATGTTTACAACTGGTGTGTCACACCAACACAGTGTTCACCCTCATCTTTCCTCTAATGGTCTCTGTACCACTGTCCATGTTCCTGCTTGGCTTCACAGTGTGTTTTAGGACAGGAATTTCTTCTTAGAGACATGAAACATCTCTGGGCTCTTAGTTCTAAGGAGAGACTGCTGTAAGTAAAAATGGATGCAAATGTAGCTGGTTCTGCAAAACAGCACTTGTGTTTCGAAATGAAGTGGTGTTATGTGGTATTCTAAACTCTTGCAATTACTTTGAATATTTGTGCAACTGGGATTTACTAGTGGAAGTGGAAAGGAATTTTTGAGCAGGACTATCAAATCACAGAATACACCTTCAGCTGAAAAGAAAACAGCTTTTTTCTGGGGATTGGGAGGTTTTTATGGTAACAGTAATAGACTTTATTGTCATATGGCCAGAAGTCTAGGGTGCCACCAAAGGTTTTATTAATCCATTCGGGCTATTGATGGTGGTACAGATCAAACCATCCCTTAAGATTTGAAGGTCTGGGCATGAGTAGCAAAGAGGAGTTGCACTGCTGCAGACTGCAGCAGATGTGACCCATTGTGGGGTGCCCTGTGTCATTGGAAATGCAAAGATGCACTGAAGCTCTCATGGATTGCTCACTCCTCAGCATACTAAATGCTTCTCTAAAGTATTTCAGAATCTGAGCTATAAAGTAATTTAAATTCAGAAAGGAAGATAATAAAATAATAGATAGAAAAAAACTCTGTATAGTATAGACTGTTTGAAAGAGCATGAAAGTCTTTATCAAATACCTTTTACAGTAGAATTCATTTGTGTTACCACAGGGAGCCATTGTGATCCTCAAATCAAGACAGCAGAAAAATCTGAAAAGGTTTCTCCTCCTCCTTCTCAGATCCACATTATTTTGATACTAAATCTTGTCCCAGATTTATCATTGCTCCTCTTTGTTTATTTGTCTTTTTGTCTCCCTGATCATTCCTGTTTATTCCTTCTCTTTTCTTTTCCCACTGATTCCTCTTCAGCTGAGTCCAGACACCAAGGGAAAGTCCTATGTAGATCACCTGCAGAAAGACTGGGGAGAATTTTGTCCAGCATTAACTCTCAACATGCTCCTGGTCAGCTTCCCTGCTCATCTTGCACCTAGTGCTCAAAATGAAATTTTGTCATGAAAGTCTTGAAAGATTTGATAAATCTCAGTCTTTTTATTTGCGTTGAGTTTGTGGTTTTGATGTGATAGCTTCAGGGCAGCCAATGACAGGCTTGAATATCTGACCTCTCAGTCTCAAAAATAAAGTGTTACTTAGACATTTAAAAAGAAAGGCTTGAAAAGAGCAAATCCAAAATTCAAGTTACAAATACAATAAAAATGTGTTGATTCAAATCCTGCAAACAGTTGACAATTTTCTGACCTTTATAGCCTATCCAGCTATTCATGGAGGCTACTGCTCAACAGTTAATTAATTAGGAATAGCAAACACTGAACTGAATGATATTCTTACCTTTTCAGCATCCTGTCTCAGAGTAAAACCTTATCCATGGTAGGCAAACCAGAACTGTAGATAACAGCAGAGCTGTTCAGCTGCAAAGACAAACCAGCAGATGGACAAGGTTAGAATTATAGTCCAGCTCTAGAACTGGCTTTGAATTTACATTGAATTTACCATTTGAGGTATCAAAATTGTATTACAAAGTTTCTTTTGAACTGAAAACAGGTGCTAAATTATTAGTAGCATCTTGGTAATTTTGCACATCAAACAAACCCAGCACCTTGAAATGAAGAAGGATGTTTTCCTTGCAAGAGCTCTGCTGGATTTGTTGAACTCAGACCTTCCCAGAATTGACAACAGGTGCTAAATTAATTATTAGTAGCCTCTTGGTAATTTTGCACATTGAACAAACCCAGCACCTTGAAATGAAGAAGAATGTTTTCCTTGCAAGAGCTCTGCTGGATTTGTTGAACTCAGACCTTCCCAGACCATTCCCCAAACCATATGAATTAGCTAATTCCCCAGACCATGTGAATTAGCTGGAAATCTACTGGGCTAAAGTTCCTACTATTTACAAGTTTGAGTTTGAGAAAGAAGAGAAGATGCATGGTTCCATACCTGAGAGGAAAACAAACCCTCGTGGGTTTTAAGACCCAGTGGAAAAGGCTGTGGAGGCTTTTGAATACCAGTAAGGAAGAGGCTTCCATCTCTCCATGTGCATTGCTCAGAAACCTGTCTGCCTGCTCTGCCTTTACTATTTCTCAAGTAGTACCCTACTCCCTCCAAAATCTGAAATTCTATAAAGCAATAATCCTCCATGAAGGGAATGCCTGCCATTCCATGTAAGTGTGTTAAAGTAAATGTAAAAACACACAATTATTTTCTGCAGCTAAATTGGTGAGTTTCCAGCAAATACTCAGAATATGCAGCACACACATCAAGTTTGGGGAATTATTTTCTGCAGCTAAATTGGTGAGTTTCCAGCAAATACTCAGAATATGCAGCAGGAGGATGAAGGACATAAGCCTGTTTGTTAATGCAGTTTCACAGTGAAGGTGTTAGAATTAGCAGAGAAAGAAAGGGAAAGAGAAAATTGCAGAAAAGCTTCATCTATCTCCTTATTGCCTCCTGAGATAGATTGTTCAGAGCTAAAGGAACACTAGACATGAACCAAATCTCCTGCTGTCCTATATAGCTTTTACAATCTCCTTTTTAATAACCCAAACTACAGGGTAGTCTGACTATTAGACAAGCCGTTCTTTTGAATTCTCTCCACAATGTGTATAGACATGATAAAAAAACCAATTCTCATTAAAGCTGCCAATGCTGTTTCAAAAGCAGGTGGTTTAAAGTGTTTCCTATACAAAGCAAAACACATTTCTTGTGCATTACACACTGCTTAATAGGGAGTTTAAGATTACACTGCTATGTTGTGTATAACACTGCATCTTAAATAATAGGATATTGTAAGTCGTGTTGGAAATATGTATCACATGAATATGGAAGATATAATGATATGCACTGAGCAATTTTCAGAAGTGCTGGAACACTGCCTTGTGTGACAACCTCTGAGCTAAAGTAGTTGAAAATAGCATCTGGAATTTCAGATTATACAGTCTCTGATCCTAACTGATTATTTTTTCTAGGATATTGTTCAGTCAGCATGTGGATATATGAAAGCTAAGACTCCTCCTGTCCTGTGGGAATGCTTACTGTTTATGTTATAAATTAAGGATGGTAGGAATTGAGTGCTCTCAACATGAGTTTTCATTTTTCACTGAAATCAGTCTTTTATAAGGAATGCAGGATTGATCTGATGTAAAAATTGTGATATACAGCTCTCTCCTTAAGCTGCTTGTTCATATCCTTTTCCAAACCAGTTCTGAAAAAAACCCCAGCAACCTATAGAGGTCCAGTGGTACTTCTGTGCAAATTCAGAGTTTGCCATTCACATCAGCAGAAGCAGACTTTAGTCCTTCATTGATGTGAACATTTGAGTCTATCTGTGAACTTCATCAGCAATCAGAAAACCACATAAAGCATAGTAATTCAGGTTATTGTGAATAGGCACAGTAATTCATGCTATATTTTGAAATGAAAACAAAATGTTTGTATGTATTATAAACTGCTTTTAATGAAATAAAATTAATTTGGATCTTCAGTGTGTCTGCCTATCTAAATTTTCCCATCTTCTGCTTTAAGAAATAATTACTTCCTTTCTTATAAATCAACTTCTGCAAACAAGGTGAAAATTGATTATGAGCTGATTAAGTTAAATAAAATATTAACATAAACACTTACATAACATAGCTTGGCAGTGAATTTCTTATTCTTGAAAAGGTGAATTTTAAAAATGTATTTTCTGTGAGTCCTGTTTCTCCTGAGAAGTCTCTGTGAAATTCAACAGGTGACGTTACAGATAATCCAGTAATCAGTGTTTCACCTGCCATTTCATGGACCCATAAACTACTGCAGTTTAACTTACATGACTCTAGCAAACATTAATGTATGTAAATAACGTGTTAAACACCTAGTTATCACTCTGTTCATATTAGCGCTTTCATACTAATGATTTATTTTCATTTTCTCCAGGATATAGACCTGCGGCTAACTGGATTTGATTTATAAGAGGGGATTCTGCAGTAAATGGCTGCTCTCTTCATATTGCTGCTATGGAAAACAGAATTGTCAATAGGATGTAGTCTGATAAATAGTGCTGAGTGAAGATGCAGCTTCAATAAGTGTGAAATCAATGGAAGATACTTACCGCATGAAAAGCCTTTTGAGATTTTTCTGACAGGCGCCTATTTAGGAAACTTGATCTGTTTCCTCCGGTCGCCCTGTTTTTACACCAGTGGATACAAATCAGATTGCTTCACTCTAGTTACACAACTAATGTGGGACCATGGCCTTTCCAAGATCCATGTGGCTGAACTGTGTATGGAGAGCGACAGTGGTCCGCCTGCTACACACGGGATTGAATGCCACTTTTGCTTTTTCTATACTTGGATTTTTGCTTCACGCTGCATCTGTGTCCTCCCAAAAATTGGATGATACCAACCCAGTGGTGACCACCAACTTTGGCAAGATAAGAGGGATTAAGAAGGAACTTAACAATGAAATTTTGGGGCCCGTTATTCAGTTCCTCGGGGTTCCATACGCTGCCCCTCCAACAGGGGAGCGCCGCTTTCAACCTCCTGAGCCTCCATCTCCCTGGGCAGATATCAAAAACACCACCCAGTTTGCTCCAGTGTGTCCCCAGAACATTATAGAAGGCAGGTTGCCTGAAGTCATGCTTCCCGTGTGGTTTACTAATAACTTGGATGTAGTTTCAACCTATGTACAAGACCAGAACGAAGACTGCCTCTATTTAAATATCTATGTTCCAACCGAGGATGGTGAGTTAATAGCAGGCGAAACAGGGAGATCTTTTTATTTTCCTGTTCTACTTTCTAACAATATTAATTCATGTGTACTGGTAGCCTGCATGGCTTTCTCTGTTTGCATGCCAGCTTATTACATGTGTGCATGCTGCTTTTCTCTGTGTGCATTTGTCCTTGCTTTTTGATTTTTATTTTTTTAAAATTTCTTTCTTTCTGTCTACACTCATTTTTTTTCTCCCACAGCACGTGTAATTTTTAGGTCAAAGTTGGTGCCTAATTCTCATTGCCACCCACTGACTTTTGGGAAGATGCATCAACATCTTTTCCATTGCATGTGCAGGCACAAGTTGAGAATCTTCCGCACCTAATAAAGCAGGTCATATTTAAGTTAGATAGTGGTGTTGCATGCTCCTACTGTCTGTGATGGAGCTCCATGTTATTTTCTAGTCTTCTATTCATTTTTCAGTCAAAAGAATATCCAAGGAATGTGCCAGAAAACCCGGCAAGAAAATTTGTAGAAAAGGAGGTATGTATAAAGTGGACAAAAAACCAAACAAACAAACCGGGGGAGAGATCGAAATCTTGGAAAAGGAGAAGGAATAATACAGGTGAAAGAGGCTGATTGCTAGTGCTGTGAATTGTTAGGGACTGTCTTGTCCTGGTGGAGAGGTGTTTAAAGAGAGGTCCGTGTATAACAGATGAGAAGATAACTTTGGTAGAGCCAGGACTTGGTTGCACCTGAGCATCTCTGCCTGGCACTCTCTCCAGTGACAGTGCTGGCAGCTTCTCTCTTGGCCTCAGGCTCTGGGCAGTGTCTGTCAGTGGCACCAGGGGATGGGATGTTGTGTGTGGATGCAGAGGAGGAAGCTCTGTGCCCTGGGATGGGCATTGCTGCCACCGGAGGGGCTGGCACAGCCCACAGCTCTCCCTTCCAGAACTGTGGCATAATGGCTGGGAAGCAATACAGCAATGCAGGGCTGAGACCTGCACTGGCTTTCTCCAGGAAATTCCCTGTTTTCTTGGAACAGGGTTAACTTTTCTGAAGTGTAGATGTGAAACAGTTTTTTTTTTTCGTTTACGCGCTTCTAAAAGTGAGCTTTGATTTCCTTTATTCTGTGATTACAGCTTTCTTTGTCAAAGCCCAAAAACTCTTAATAGGGGTGTAGGGAACTGTTAAAATATTGTGACATGGTACTTTGGGAGCTAGACTGCTTTTGGAAGCTTTGGAATCTTGGCTTCTCCCCTTTCTGTATTAAATACTATGGAAGAGTTTGCAGATTTCTTTGTGAATATTTGCAAATTCCTCAAGCAGCTGACATGCAACAGAGAAGGTCTATTTTGGTACTGATTAAAAGGAGGCATTTGGTGCTAGTTTTGAAGTACTAATTTTGTACTATGCACGTTTGTTTTGCATCAAATGATTTTCCTCTATTGTTTTCTTTAAAATAATGTGTTTCCTTAGAGCTGGACTTCATGTGAATTAGAATGCTTTTTGGGGTAAGCAAAGAGTACTGTAGACATGCACAGTAGCCTATTAGCTGTAATCCATTTATCTTTTATCCTGTTATTCCAAAAAAATACATTTTAGGAAGCATATAGCAGAAATGTCTAGAGCTGGGCAAAATGTAACTCTTTAAACACTGCATTAGGTTTTTAAGGCAGTATCTGGGCTCTAAATGAGGATAACCTTGTCCCAAGGCTTTAGCTCTTACAGTTCCTAACTGCTGGTTGCAGCTAGCTGTTAATTATTAATTGTTAATTGTAGTTGCTCGATGTATGCTTTTTTGAGATGCCTAAACCCACTTTCAGTGACTTAAAGCAATTTGTGTGTAAAGTGTCAGGCTTTGAGGCATCTTCTGTTTTCTGTTAGGGAATTTTTGCTCGGTGCTGTAAAAGTACAATTGGTTAAGCTGGGTTCCCAAAGCTGGGAATGAAGATAATCAGGGTACTGTGAGCAACGTCACTTCTTCACACATCATTCAAGTTAGAATAACTGCTGTCATTTATATGCATTCAATTAATGTGCAGTGCTGCAGCAGTTATTACGCAGTTCATCAAGCGTGTGTAATTAGCTGAGCAACTTTCACTTCCTATCACCCAGACGCTGATTCACAAAGTCATAAATAAAGATGCAGATCCCCATCATTGTTCTCAGAGAGCATCTCTTGTATGAGAGAGTATTAAAAAAAAAAAATCAGAAAAATAGCAAAAGTCAAGGGAGGGAGAGCCCAGTAGCTGAGAAAGTCATGCTTTTATTGTCCTGTGGGCCTGAAGGAGAATAAAGAGAGTTACTTGAAATTCAGTAGGTACCTTTCCACTTAGATTCATTGCAGACACAGCACCATAAAAAGCCTACCTTTTGCTGTTGACAAGTGCAGAGAGCTCCTGAATACCTTCAGCTGGGCAGCTGAGATATCTGTAGGAATGTGTGTTCTCTGAATAACTCTCACTACTCACCCCTGCATAACCTGAGATTTACCCTGATCTGGGATTGCCCCCACAGCCAGGGGCAAAAGGAGCTGCAGGAATAAGTTGCAGTAGAGTCACAGCAACTGAGCAGCAGCCACAGCTGGGAAATAGCATCAGTTTTGTATTAGAAAGAAAAAAGACCCAACAATCTCCCTTTTGCTGGATTTTTAGGTTACAGTCACAGAATTACAGCAATGAAAATTATTGGAAGGAGAAAATCTGGAAATCAGAGGCAGACTTTTACACCATCTTTTTAATTCATTAAGGGTATGTAAGATGAAAGTGGCTGGAGCAGCAACCATATGCTATCCTTACATGTGGTTTGATTCCTTCTTACTACATGAAATAGATTGAATTAAATAAATAAATTAGTATTTATGCTTAATTGTCAGCTGAGGGACATTAGAAAATTCAAATTTTTTAAGAACAGGGAGAAATCTATTAAAATAGATGTAGAAATGAAAGGAGTTCTATCCATGAGTCATGCTAGAGATGGTAATGAGCACTATATCCATGACCTCCTGTTGGGATTTGGATGTGCCCACAGCAGAGACTACAGAATGGTAGGCTGAAGCTGGGTGAAAAGAAATGAAACAATTCAGCATGTTTTTTACAAAACAAAAAGGAGGCATGTATTCCAGTTACTTGACCTTGAATTTACTGATTCAAAAATAAAGAACATCCGGTTTTGCGTCTTTTCCTTCAGGTACATCAAGGTCAGAGGTTGCTAATTCTGTTTTGGGTACGTAGAAACTCACGTTTGCAAGGGCTGGTTTTGGAAAATTAGTGCAAAGGCACCTGAGTAATTCTGTGTTACTTTTTTGAGTCTCATTTTCATAACTCTAAATTTTAATAGACCCTGGTTATATTATAGGTTATACCATTTTAGTGATTGATTATATTGTCTATTCTCTGGCATTTCCTGAATTTCCTGACAAATGTTGCAGCATTTCTGGGGATTACCTGAATAGTATTCTAGTGTTTGGCATTTCAGACCTCTACATTTACCTTATAGTCAAAACACAAACATTGTACTTCTGATCCAGAATGCTTCCTTATCTCTTAGGAGGTCAAGCATGCTGCTTTAAGTGCATACCTGTGGTGTTTTAATACTCGATATAAATTTCTTTCCATTGCAACAGTTTGCACCAGGAATTTCTTACTTTGATGACAACTACATAAATAAAATTTGGAAAGGATCACTTATATGACCACTAAAAGAACCACCCAGGTGCTGTGTGCTCTGCACTTGGGATGACAGTGTGCTCCTTGTTAGGAACCTGTACTAAAGCTTTCATGGTGCCTGAAGATGCCTCCATGTGAAAATGTGGAGGAGTAGGTGGTATATCCTCAATGTCATGGAGCCAGGCAGATGCAGCTTTGGATAAATTAGTATTTGTAGGAGATTTAGGTGTAGAATAAGGAAAGAAATCACTTGATCCTTACTTTTATGTTTAGGAATTATCAGCGGCTCAGAGACCGCCCAATATCAGTGACTTCTCCGCATGTGGATTCTGTTTCTTATTCTAGTCAGGGCAGTGAATAAATTTTAAATGCGAAGACTCATGATCTGAACTACCTCATTTGAGAGTGTAGGATTAGACAGCTCTATTAATATTTATGCCTCCTAATGGGCTACTTGATTTTCAGAGCAAAGCTCCCCACGCCATACTTTCTGGGTTATGGCTGTGGTTACTATGGACGCACAGGAGCAAATGTACATACACACAAATATATTCATGGAACTGAAACACAAATCACACTGCTGTAATCTCATCCTGCTTTGATCTCCCTTTGTTTTCAATAGAGAATATGTTACATCAGTTCTGTTTTGTAAGAGGCTCTGATAACCTCAGGGCTTTAAGCTTAGCAATGTGAAATATTCTTTAGAAGACTAAGCAGAAATTTCACCTGTTACCTTGTGTTTCTGTAGAGTGTTTTTTCCAGTACTCCATTTAACTGCCCTAGAACTGTTTGCTTATCATCAGATCTTGGAAAAGAGCAATTAATAGAACTTGTGCAGTTCCTGTGGACTCCCTTAAATGAAGATCTTTCTGTAAACCAATTTCATCTCTGAAATCAACCAGAAAAAGACAAGCTGAGACCTTTAAAATGTGTATTTCCACTGGCAAAGTTGTCAATTAATTATCAGTATTCCTTTTTTCTAAAGATGTCATTTACAAAATAATATCAAAGTGATGGAAGAGTAATTGGTAAATTGTCAAAAATTGCTGAAATATTCCTTTTTCTATGACCATGTGAGTTAAAAATATGAAATCTAAGGTGTGACCCTCCATCACTGTAGACAGAGCTCTGTCAAAATAAGTTATGTTGTCAGTAGACTAAAAACATGCCTTTGCAGACCATTGCTAGGGCTCTGGGTCTCTTGAGAATGACTTCCAATCTTACAAACTATTCCTTTGTGTGTATTTTGGGGGACATCAACCCTTTAAAAGGGTTTATATCTTCATTAGGCTGCTTTGAAAATTCTTAACAAATTATTTGCATGTAGTGTATTTGTGTCAGTAGTTGCCTGCACATATTTG